CGGGGTGCCCTCCAGGGGTGCCGTCCCCTGACCTTCCAGGAGGGCTAAAAAATACCACCCGACTGAAAAACCTATCCCGAAGCTCTTCCACGTCCTGGTCCTAGGCCGTTCCGCTCAGCTCTTCAGGCTCTTAAAGGCCTCCAGTGCGAAAACACAGCTCCCTGGAAGGTCAGGGTCTGGGCTTGCCCTCCAGGGGGGGCCCTCCCGGCCTGCCCCCTCGGGGTGCCCTCCCGGGGTGCCGGCTGCCGGCCGCACCCCCCGCGCGGGCCACGCCCGCCGGCGGCGCCCACGGGCGGCGGCCCCGCACGGCCGCCCGTGGCCGCGGGCTCCCCCGCGTGCCGCCCGCGCGGTGGCCCGCGGCCTGCGCCCCCGGGGCTCGCGGGCGCGGGCCGGCCGTCGGCCGCCCCCCGGGGCATGGGGGCGCGCGGCCGCGGTCCGCGCAGCCGTCGGCTGCGGGCTGCGCGGAGCTGCCTGGCCGAAGGATCGGGCGAAGAGAACTATGCACATGCACCGATCCTGGCAAGGCCCATCCTTGACCCAGGATCGGTGCATATGCCTTCCTGGCCAAGGTAGGAGGGCGTATGCACCGATCCTGGGCTCAGGATGGGCCTGGCCAGAATCGGTGCATGTGCATAGTTCTTTTTCCTCTAGAAGGAGACGGGATCCAGCAGTGGCGCAGCGTCGGGGCTCGCCTAGAGAGCCCTGCCAAGCACTGTTCTAGCAACCTGTTTGGGGGTGCCACGGCGTGTTCTTGGAGCATTTCTGGCTGAGTCTGTCTTGTTTTAGGACCTCGGGCTCATGTTCTAAGAACATTGCTGTCGTTCTTAGAACATGTTTGGGTTATATTTCGTGGTAGGACTATAGGAATGCCGGGACGGTCGGTCCTTGCTCAAAGGAAGCGCCATGCGCAGGAACTTTTGGCGCTCCGCGCGGGTTTCTTGGATCCGTGCAGGGCCTTCCCGGCGGCGCCTCCGGCGCCGCCCCTGGCGCGCGGAGCGCGCCAGGGAGGAGGGTTCAGCGCAGATCCAAGAAGTCCGCGCGGAGCGCCAGAAGTTTCTGTTTATGGCGTTTCTTCTTTTTCTTTTTCTTCTTTTTCTTCTTCTAGCTCGGGCAGCTGAGCGTCCCAAAACAAGGGTTCGTCTGCGCCGACATTGGCGCGCAAATTGCCCGCGTAAGGTCGCGCGTGAGCGCCCTCGCTTCAAGCATGGCGTGCCGCGCGGGCGGGCCGCGTCAGCCACCGCGTGAGGTCGCCATGCCGTCTCGCGTGAAACCCGTTGTTGATCGTCGCTCAGCTGGCGGATGAGCCTCTCAATGCCATCCTCGCTTGCAGCGGGACGATGGCCAGCACGTCGGCGGCCAGCAGCACCCTTCCTGCAGCCACCACTGGGGCGAACGGTGTATCGAGCAGCTTGGCTCTGAGCGGAACGACGGGTGCGGGCAGCACAAAGGCGCTCTACATGTGGACGTCCACCTTGCTATCACAGACAGTTTACCAGGGCAGCCGTTGCATGGGTTCCACACCGTTGTTTCTTTTTTTCCCTCTCTCTTTCTCTCTTGTTATTTCTCCCTTTCTCTCTCTCTCTCTCTCCCTCCCCCTCTCATTCTTCTTCCTCATGCGTTTTGTTCTAAACCTTAGCTGCTCTTCGTGATTCTTTGGCGCCTGGCTCGCACTTCGAGCGACGGCCGTCCATGCAGGCGCCTGGCCACAATGGTCGGCCGCGCTGTGTGGTGTCGGTCCCTTCGCCTTTCAGTCAGCAAACTTTTCCCCTTGCCGCAATGCCATCCGACATCTTGCGCTCAGTCGGGTCTGGCGCTGGGCACTAGTGCGTCTTTTCTTTCTATGCGCTCTGGGTTCGACGACTCCGGGAGCCTGATGCATGTAAACGTGCCTTCGCTTTTTCCTACTTCTCTCCTCTCTCCTTCCCCCTGCCATCTTTTGGCTGGACGTTCTGATCCTACCCGTGAGAGACAAAGGTGCGAGTGCCACCAGCCATACCTCAGTGGGTGTACGCACGCACAGGCTCGTTCCCTGTGCCTTTTTTCTTTCTCTAGCCCTCATCCTCTCAGGCTTTTGTGTGGGACGATTGCGCGGGTGTCTCCAGCGAAGTCTGTGAGGGCTTACGCAAGCACACGCTGCGCGCCATCTTCTTGCTCCTTGCCCCCTCTGATCACCTTTTCCCCGTGTCGTATTCATCGCTGGCCAGGCGTTGCTCCCTCGCACGCTGCGCGGCAACACTGCTGTGGTGATGCGCAGTGCTCCCGGATGGGGCAGCCATCGTCGCCTCTCGGATGCTGCGACTCTGGATGGAAGCAGCTCGTCATCCCTCCCCTCTCGTCCCTCCCTCCTCCCTCCTCCTCGTCCTCCTCCCCTGTCCTCCCTGCCCCCCCCTCCCACTCCTTTCATCCCCGCGCTGATTTCCCTCCCCGCGCGCGCATGGCGGAGGGAAGGCCTGCTGGACCCGCGGCGCTCCGTCAGTCGGCCCGGCCCCTCGACGGGCAGAGCGTGGCCTCCCCCGGGCAGCGAGAGGCCAGGGCACCGGGCGAGGTCGAGCGGGAGGGAGGAGAGATTCCAGCGAGCGGCGAGATCGAGCGGGAGGGAGGCACCGGGCGAGATCGAGCGGCGAGATCGAGCGGGAGGAGAGATCGAGCGGGAGGCCAGGGCACCGGGCGAGATCGAGCGGGAGGGAGGCACCGATCGAGGGGGGGGGGGGGTGCAAGCCAGGTGCGCTCGCAACATATCTGACGTCCTACCCCTCCCTCCCGTCCCTTACCATGGCGTGAATCTCCTCTCTATTCGCACAGTCGGGTGTCGCAGCATGGCACAGCATTACATGGCACAGCATGGTGGGGGAGACCAACGAGGAGAGAGGGGGGGGAAGAGAGCGGGATGGGCGCAGGCCTGGGGAGGGCGGGACGGGGGGAGAGGCGGGAAGCGGGGGGGGGGGGACGCAGAGGGGGCAGGTGCCCGGGCGCGCGGGCGGTCCAGGAGGAGGAGGAGGAGGAGGAGGAGGAGGAGGAGGAGGAGGAGGAGGAGGAGGAGGAGGAGGAGGAGGAGGAGGAGGAGGAGGAGGAGGGTGGGGGGAGGGAGGAGGAACAAGGAGGAGGAGGAGGCGGAGGAAGAGGAGGAGGACGAGGAGCCCCGAGATGGCCTCCAAGATGGCCCAAGAGTGCTCAGGACGGTTGAAGGCGGCCCCTATCATGACTCCAAGAGGCCCCAAGAGGGCCAGAAGGCGGTTTCAAGTACTTTCGGGACCCCCCTTCCAAGAAACCCAAGTCCATGAAATATCAGAGGAAGTCAGCAAGGTGATTCTTGATACTTTTTCGCTTCCGATAGGCTTTTGAAGCCTCCAGGCCGGGCTGGCTGGGAGGGAGGGTGGCGCATGTGCCGTGCGTGCCGAATCAAAGTGGTCGGGGCGGAGGGGGCTCGCTGGCTGGTAGGCGAGCAGGAGCTGGGGCGGCTGTTTGAGGGGGGAGGACGGAGGGCGCGTTGTTGGCGCCGTGCGCGCGTGCCGCAATGACGCGGTCGGTTCGGAGGGGGCGCGCTGGCTGGGAGGAGGAAGGCCCTGAGGGCTCACCGGGGGCGTGGGGCGCTCTCAGGGAGGTTGCGGTCGGGAACTTTGGCTTAGCGTGTCGCGGCGCCAGCTCTGGCCTACCACGCTTCGGCGCGACGCGCTGACCACTTCCCGGCCCCGGAGCGTAGATGTCCCGAGCCTTTCCCAGCTTCCCGTCCCGCGGAGCGGAACGACACGCTATCCGCGCAGGGCACTGTGCCGCCAGGGCCGCCACCGCGACACGCTCCACAACAGTTCCTGACCGTAGGCTCGGCATCACCTTAACATACTGGTGCAGTCTGTGCGTCGCCGCCCGGGGACGCGCGCGCTCAGCCATGTCATAGTATGCGCTACAGGGGGAATATTCAAAAATAGTCAAAAAATAATACGGGGACTATTGTTCGACCATTTTTGATATTTTTTAGGGTATGTTCTGGGTATTTTCAAGGTTTCGTCCAAAATCACCCTGTAGGGGGACAGGCCCGACCTAAGAGTATGTCCTTTCTGCGCCCCGCCCTCGGGAAGGTCAGACGGCGAGTGTGCTGCAGGATGCCCTCAGGGCAAGAGCTCTCCGTGTGCGCCCGCTGCGCCGTCTGGCTCTCGAGGCCGGTGGCTCCGCCCGCGCCGCGCGCCCCCGCGAGGGCGCGCGCGGCGGCGGCCGGCGGCCGGCTGCGCCATGTCCGTGCGCGGCCCGCAGCCGCCATCTCGATGATCTTCAGGGCGTGCGTTTGCCCCAGTCAACTCTCGGGCCGAACGAAAGGGGGGGACAGAGAGAGGGGGGGTTGCGAAGTCTGCTGCGTGCAGCTGGCTTCGGCCCCGCCGCCTGGCCCATTCCTCGATACATGGGTGCCTCCCGGCGCTGGGAGGCGCCAGGAAAATCAGCTACGAGAGCTGATTCTCAACCCCCCCCTCTGCTATCCCCCCCTTTCGCCCGGCCCGAAGCTCCGCCGATGACGCGCCGCCTGCTTCGGCTCTCATGTGGCACCGCCTGCGTCGTGGTGGTGGGGTTCTCGGCAGGCAAGCGCGCGTCGGCTCGTGATGTGCCAACATACGTTTAGCCTTGAGTCGGGCGTGTCCCTCTACAGGGGAAACATTGAAAAATAGTCAAAAAATAGGCAGGAAACGATTTTTGCTTATTTTGAATACATTGTTTTTTCTTGTTGTCTGCGTGTGACATTCAAGATTTTCGTCCAAAATCCGCCTGTAGGAGGACAGGCCCGACCTGATTTTAGCCTTGACCACCCGAAAGAATTTCGAGCACCAACAAGGTAACGAACTTACACGGCTTTCACGTGCCGCGCCCTGGTAGGCGACACTCTTTCGACACTTCGCTTGTGTGCCGGGGAGACATTGTTTCAATACTGTTGCGTCTGCTCGACCTCACCTCTGGGATGCGTTTCCTCAGTACGATAGGAGCAACTTGACGTTGGCGTTCACGCACTTTCTGAGCATCATCGGGCATCGCCTGACGCGGCACCGCCTGCCACGCCGCGCGCGGCGGCGCCGCAAGCCACGCTGCGGGGGGCGGCCGGCGAGTTCTCCAGAGCGACCGAGGACCAGAGAGGAAAAGGTACCGATGTCGCTGCTCGTCTTGGAGCCCGACCGCGTGCAGAGGGGGGTATGGGGGAGGGGGGAAGGCTTCTTGAAAGCACCCGTGCTGCTTCAGAAAGCGCGGGCCTTGTGTGTAGATGTAGGGCCAGCGCCTCCTAAGAACCAGCCTCCGTCTAAGAAGTCTTCGCCCCTCCCCTTACCCACTTGTGCGCGCCGCCACGGAGAGTTCTCGTCACCACGGCTGGATTCCCTTCGAAATTCTGGTCAGAGCGCACCTTGGGAGAGGTCCGGGGAGTGGTGGTGTCGGTACCTGTTCGCTCCCTGAGGACGTCTCGCTGGCTCCGAGAACGACCGAGGAGATCGACCAGCTCCTCGACGCCGCCGACATCGTCATGGGGAGGCTCGAGCGCGACGTGGCGAGGAAGGTGAAGATGCAGAAGCATGAGGCGGACATGCTGCGGTGCATCGAGCTGCTGCGAGACTCCATGAGCGGCACGATGGTTGCTCGGACATGGTGCTCCGATGGCGACCTGCTGGTCCAGCTCTTCGGAGGGGACTGCAAGCGCATCGCCAGGATGCGAGCAGCTTTGAGTGAACTCCTCCCTCTCCACCTTCTCATCGCCCCCGATCTTCTCCCTTTTTCTCCCCCCCCCTTCCCAGGATACGAGCCCTGCTGAAAAAGGTCAAGTTTTCCACGGAGTCCAACCGCGCGGACAAGCGGATGCCCTCGTGCAAGAAGCAGTGCCGCATCGTGGAGGGCGTGCTGCGGGACCTCGGCCACGCCGCGGCCCTCCGGGAGGCCCAGGAGGCCCTCGCGGAGCGCATGCTCACGGAGAGGCAGGCGTCGGCCCAGGAGTCCACCCGCCTGGCGGCCGCCAGCCAGCCCGCCTCCGCCTGCCTCAGCCCGGTCTCGCCGCCCCTCGCGGCCGACCAGCAGCCGGCTTCCGACTGCCCGGCCCCGGAGCCACCGCCCGGGGCGGCCGCCGAGCGGCCGCCTGCTGCCGAGAGGCCGCGGGCCGCGGCGGCCGCCGCCGAGGAGCCGGCGGGGCGAGCCGCGGCCGGCGAGGCGCCGGGCGAGGCCGAGCGGCGAGCCGCGGCCGCCGCCTGGGAGCCCGCCGCCGGGGAGCCGCAGGGAGGGCTGCTGCAGGGCCTCGCGGCCATGCTGCCGCGGTCCTGGGCCGGCCCCGGGCCGACGGCGGCGGCCACCGAGGAGCCGCCGGCCGCGGAGCCGGCGGCGGCGGCCGCCAGGGAGGCGGAGGCGCTCGCAGCCATGCGAGTGGCAGCGTCGAAGCCCGCGCCAGAGGCGGCAGAGCCTGCGCCGGCAGGTGTGCCAGGGGGTGCGCCAGCGGACGCGCCGGCAGCAGTGCGAGCGGCCACGTCGATGCCCGAGCCAGCAGCAGTTCCACGGGCGCCAGAGCCAGTGCCAGTGGCTGCGCTTGGGGGCGAGACGGCGGATGTGCATGCAGCCACGCGAGTTGCCGCGCCGACGCCCGCGGCAGCAGCTCTGAAGCCTGTGCCGTTGGCTGTGCAAGGGAACGCATTGGCGGGCACGCTGGAGGCCAAGGGAGTGGCACCAGCGGACGTGCCAGCAGCCATGCGAGTGGCCACGTCGATACCCGCGCCAGCAGCTGCTCCAGAGGTGCTGGAGCCTGCGCAGGCAGCTGTGCAGGGGGGTGCATCGGCGGACGCGCTGGCAGCCATGTCAAAGCCCGCGCCAGCAGCTGCTCCAGAGGCGCCAGATTCTGTGCCTGCGGTTGCGCCTCTGGGCTTGCCGACAGACGCGCTTGCAGCCATGCGAGTAGCACCGGCAGGCGCGCCGGCCGAACTACGAGCGGCCACATCGATGCCGACGCCAGCAGCTGCTCCAGAGACGCCGCCGACGCCGGCGGACGCGCTTGCAGCCATGCGAGAGGCACCAGCAGACGCGCTTGCAGCCATGCGAGTTGCCACGTCGTTGCGCACATCAGCAGTTCCTCCAGAGGCGCCGCAAGGGCCCGTGCAAGAAGCTGTGCCAGGGGATGCGCCGGTTGACGCGCTTGCAGCCATGCGGGTGGCTGCGTCGATGTCCAGGCCAGCAGCACCAGAGCCTGTGCCAGTGGCTCTGCAAGGGGGGGCCCCAGCGGACGCGCTTGCAGCCATGCGAGATGTCCCGCCGATGCCCGCGACAGCAGCTGCTCCAGAGGCGCTGGAGCCTACGCCAGTGGCTGTGCACGGGGAGGCGCCAGAATTTGTGCAAGCGGCTGTGCAAGGGTGTGCGCCTGCGGACGCGCTTGCAGCCGTGCGAGAGGCACCAGCAGACGCGTTTGCAGCCATGCGAGTTGCCACGTCGTTGCGCACATCAGCAGTTGCTCCAGAAGCGCCGCAAGGGCCCGTGCAAGAAGCTGTGCAAGGGGATGCG